TTTGTCGGAGCCATACTCCATTTTTACGTACAGATATTTTCTCTGCGGTTGGCCAGACCTGTGCTTTCTTGCGTACATCGACGACGACGCCTCATCAAAAGCTGTTGCAGGTGACCAATATTCTTTGAAAAAAGCTTCCGCAGAGAGCATGGATAGGGATGAATATAACGAACACCGGACACTGGTGGGTGTCATTGTGGGCAAAGCAGATAACGAGGGAAGTCAGGACTCAAAGGGTTTGTGTGGGTACATTGCCATGCTGGCTGTTGAGACCTCATACCGAAGGGCAGGCATCGGTGCGTATCTTTAACGCCGTATGTTTTTTTGGGGGTGTGTGCTTTGTATGGAAAGGAGTTTCGTCTTTCGACCAACATATCTTGCGTATAATAGGGCGTCACCTTTTCTTGAGCAATTTTCGGGCAAGCAATTTCGTGGCAGATGCTCACAATAAACATGCTTTATCAAATCTTATAACCTCTATCCTTCCTTACTTGATACTAGGTCGGAAGCTCGTTAGCAGGGCAGTGGCACGCATGGTAGAAATCGGCTGTCAAGAGGTAGCGCTTGAAGCGGAAGTTACCAATATTGGGGCCCTGCACTTGTACGAACGGCAAGGGTTTGCAAGAGAAGAGCGTTTATTGAAATACTACTTGAATGGCGTGGATGCATTTCGTCTGAAATTGTGGTTGAAAATGGAAGATGATTTCATAATGCCGCACGATGGTCGTCAATCAATGCATGAGAGTGGACAGTGCTGCGGTGGAAAGAATGACCAGCATAACGAGCAAAGACATCCTCATGGAGACAAAAAAGCTGTCTTAGCACATGGTATTGAAGCTAACGACTCTCCTACGGGGCCGCCGAATTGCTCCGGCGGACGCGAGGAGGATATTGACGGAAATATTATGGTAACGAGGCAGAATTTGACATCACTCAGCCTAGAGGGCCGGCATGTACACCCTCAAAGATCGGATGCAGTAGAACCATCAAGAGTGCAGGAGAGATAAAAAAATGTATTGAAATGCGAAAAATTGTACAATGTAACATAACAGATGAGCTGATTCCTGAAGGATGTTAAAATGGTCAGAGACACGATTGGTTTTACTTATCTTTTTCGTTATCAGCCGTGCGCGCCGATAAGTAAGTATCGACTCTTCTTATAACAAATATAGAATCTCGTCGAAAGCGAAATTTCTCGGTATAGACGATGAGAGTGTTGTTAGACTGCCAGGGCATGTCGGCCGGCCTCTCAGGAAACGTTCGGCTCTCAAACGGATATTTGAATTTCAAAAGCGTCCCCAGAGTTTACCTCCAAAAGCGCACATTATGCCTCTAAAAGGCAGGCCGAGCCGATGAAGTGGTGCACAAATGATTTCCGTCCATGATTCAATCAAATGAAATAACCTTTCGTGACTCTTTGCTCGTCTTACTGAGAATTTATCCTCCATGAAGGTCTTTCGTACCGCAATGTCGTCAGTCGTCGGACATGACGGAGCCCTACTCTTAGGACCCCCTGTCAGGTCTTTTACTGACACATCCATTTTCACCTCTTATCAATAATAAAAGCAGATATGCCGTATTTAAAAAGCAACTGGTCATCCATGCCACCCTTGGAAGAATTTGGGCGTTTTGCTTTTGGTGAGATTTTTACCATCCCTGAGATGACCTTGACACAGACGGACCCTACGGCACGGGCGTGCTACTTGCACGTGGCCTTAGAACATCAGGCCCGCGTTCAGGAATTAGATCTTATCTGTGCAGCACCAACAATAGTTGTAAACCTTATGAGGGGAAAATCCACGACGGGAATGAGCTATACATACCTGACCACTCTCAAGGGCCAAACTTCGGAGGAGTATCCTGGCCTCTTTGCCTTTCGCATAGATGCATCGCTCCTTTCCCATGTCGAGGTATGGCAACTTCAAATTAAATTTTTATTCCCACGTGTTGGGGAAAAATCGTTATTGATCAAAAAGGTGAGCGTTATTGTGGAGGATCAGGCGAAGAAACGGGGAGAGCTGAACATGAAAGCCGAGACGGGTGCGGGCAAGCGAGGCGTTTTGGATAGGACCAATTCCACGGCAATCCAGAACTATAATCCACAGCAACGACGGCAGTATTATCCTCCGCCTGTGCCTCCGCAACCATTTAACGCGGAGAGCGCTGTAATGGTAGGTCTCGTAGTAGTCGATCAGGTTTTGGGTGTCATGACCAAAGAAATTCAGGACAACCTGGAATCGACCTGCCGCGGTGTGGAAAAGCGTCTGCTAGCGGATTTGAAAAGACTGGAGGGGAAAATGCGACGAATTGAGGAAGTCTATGATGATATTGCGGCGGACATCCGGCTAACGTCACTACAGTCCGCTCTTGAGGAAGCGCGAATGGCACAAGGCTTGGCCGCGAATGATCCAGAAAAGAAGTCGGCCACAGATGCGGACGGTGGAAACGAGGATCAGGAAGAGGGTGATCCAGGCGGGGTATGGGGAACAGGGGCATTGCAGCAAGACATATACTACGGCATAGGCGTGGGTGTGTGAGGGCGGCGATGTTGGGAGCTTCGCAAAGGGGGCGTTAGCTACAACAGATGCATTGAAAGCTGGCATATTTAGGCCGCAGTCAGATTGCGAAGCATAACAGATCCCAAAAGAAACACGAAGCACGACCAAAGTGATCATATCTTCTACCATCTGTACACTACTTAGTACTGTTAAAGCCACACATCAACAAGCGCTCTTCGCATCCTCATTTTCCTCTCCCTGTACAATCTCCATCCTCATCGTTGACTCGACCTGCATTACTTCGTTAGCAAGGCCATCCAATTGCTCCTGTAGGCGAGTTACCCTTCCAACCCCTTGTCCTTCACCCTCGTTTCCCTCTTCCTCCTCGTCTTCGTCCTCGTCCTCCTCCAGGTCAGCAAGCAGCAAAAAATTTGATTCAGACGTCACACACGCTATCCCCCGGCAGCCTGTGACGGCAAGTGCAAGCTTTCTGGGCGCAACTGCAGCCACTTGCCGAGTCCTTACATTAGAAACCATCTCCCACGGGAGCAAGCTTCGCGCACCTTGGCCGTCGAGGAGACAGGCTCGAGCCCCGCCCTCCTTGTCCACCGGATTCAGATGAGTGAGGAGACTGGTCAATGGAAGTTTCCAGAGCTCCGCTGGAGTTCGAATCTCGAAAGGCTGCACGTTTTCTCTGACCAGAAGCACAATTGACTCAGGATTGGAGGAGGGGATGTGAGGTCGACTTCCATAGAGGGTAGCTTGTTGAAACGAGAAGCCGGCAGGCGCGTCAAGAGAGAGGCCCGTGACCTCGACATGAGGTATTCCATTCGGTGTTTCCGCGCCTAACCGCATGCGCGAAGCTAAGGCGCCGACTTCAATAGAAAGGACAATGGTCCTGGCACCCCCTGAGCTCACGGCGGCCATGAGGATGCGAGACGGGTCAGACCGGGCCGGGGCGTACAGGCTGGGTGGTGATGCTAGGGGCCCCTGGGACAAGAGGAGCACATAAGGGGAAGACAGGCGGTCTGTAATTGCCTCCATGGGCCGTCTGAACACGGCTTCGAAACGAGCTAAGACCCACTCGACCTGCGTGCGGAGGGAGACGGACGCCAAGCCTTTCGCCCCCTCCTTTGCCCCCCCGTCCACGGCATCGCACGATCCTGGTGACCGGGCAGGTGCCGATGTGGTCATAATTCGGGACGGAGGCATTGGTAAGGGCTGGTCCTTGAAGTACGAAGAAATGTGCACGGCGATGACTGCTTCTGTGTTGCCCGTCGGCCCTGCGGCCCTCTTCTCACCCGGAGCATCTTCGGAATCGGTCGGTGCTGACGCTGCAACAGGCTTGCGAAGGAAAGAAAGGAGCATTCGTGTGTGCTTGGTGGAATGGCGGAACGTCAAACGCTTGCTAGCGGCGGGAGGCTCCTCTGTCCCCGTCGGCGGCAAGTGCTGCATAGTGTCCAGGAGCCACAGCACAAAGACTTTAATGTTTTGCCGGGCCCTCTGCACCTCTCGCAACGTCTCTTCCGCTTTTACACTTAGGTCCCCCGCGGCCTTGATCAGCGCTGACAGTGCACTCGTAGACAGTCCAAGCGCTTGGTAGTCAGGCCCCGAGCGCGCGAGCCCCCGGAGTTTGACAGCACGGAAAGCAATCATCTCCCCCACGCGGGCCACTTGCTCGCGGAGAAGACCCTCCACGCCGGCGATCTTGTCATCCATGGTCTTCAAAAGACGAAACATGTTTTGCTGTTGTGGCTCCGAGCCGTTTTGACTCAGGTACTGACTTAGGGCAGGACAGGCGACCCCGGATAGGACAAAGGAAAGAAGCGCCTCTCGGGCTGTTGCCTCGCAAGCGTAATCGCGCAAAAGACTGTTCAAAAGCTCCAGCTTGATATCGAGGGTACGAACGCTTTCGTTCCACTGTCGCTCTGCCATGTCCAGGGCTTCTAAAAGGTGACTGAGGAGGCCGGACACAGCCGCCAACTCCACCGTCAAGGGCCTGAGCTGATGCCGATGGGTCCAGAGTACCGCCGTGGGCACCACCAGCGTGGAAACGCCGCCTCGCGAGCCTTCGCCTGCTGCAATTGTGAACACCATCGCACTGAGATCACGCGAGGCGGCCAGTGATTGCACGCTTAGGGCCGGCGGGGAAAGCGTGGGCGATGCCGCGCGCGGAAGGAATGACTGGGAGGGGTGATCCAACAGTATGGAAGGAGGGGAGCTGGCTGGCTTCGCAGGCGACGGAGTGGGCTGTACGTTTGTACGAGCTTGGCGAATGGAAGCCGGGGACGTTACCCCAATATGTCTGCCGTTTTCGTCGGCGAGTGAAGGTGCCGGGGTCGGAGGGAAAAAGTCACGCAACCTCAAGCTCACCACAGGGAGAAGGCCCGATGAAAACACCAATATATGACCGCCTTGGAAACAAGCCACAAGCACATCTAGGGACGCGACACCAGCTGCCAACTTTGCCTCGATGCTGTCTTGCTTGACGTGCCTGGGCACTGCAAAACTGCCACTCTGCAATCCTAGAGGGGGCAGCTCCTCCCAAAAAACGGCATCCCGGTCTAAATAGTACTTGCCTGCGGCCTGTGTTAGATTTTTCTCCCAGTCCTCCGATGACATGGTCGCAGGCTCTCGTTGCTGTGTGAACCATTGCAAAGCCTCCACCCCCTGCTGAACTGCTGAAGCGGGACGCGCGCCGAGTGGTTGTCTGGCACGCTCGCCTTTTTCCACGTCCAAAAAAGAAATGGCCCCTTGCGCATGACCCAAAGCCAGCACATTGCCATCCGGACTCCAAGACATTGCTGTGACGCGCTTTTCATCCTGAAGAGTGGCTGCGGGCAGCGTATTCAATCTTTGCCACGATATGGTGCGGAGCACTACCACGGACCCGTCCGTCCTAAGCAAAGCGATTAGATCCATTTTCGGACACAACTCCACTTTACTTACTGCGATTGACTTCTCGTGCAGAACACTAAAAGCTTGGCTGTGGAATGTCGGAGGCTGCATCCTTGCACTCTTCATGCCTTCATGCTGCGACTGCATAGTGCTGGTGCTGGAGATGTGACTGCCACAGGTAGCCGACACAGACGATGCACTCACCACGCAGAAAAAGTTCGTTCACACGCCCGAGTAGACCGCATTCGACTGCGACACCTCCCACTGCCCCACCTGTCCATCATTGTGCAATACTGCCCAAGTGAGTTTGTGTATCATGCCTGCCTGCTTTGTGGGTTTTTTGTTTTCCTTCAGTTCTTGGCGAGCCCCGAAGAGGAGCGAGCGAGAAACATAAGGCGAGCGACACCACTCGTTGGCGTGCCATCGTAGGCGGCATTCGAAGGGTACACAACAGCGTGCAGGACCACAATTTGCGTTAAATGTGGGCTAGATGCGATTCAAGGCGTGTGGATGGTTATATTTGAGCGGTCAAGTGCTCGTGTGTAGCGGGAAGCTAGGACTTGTGCGTCCTCGCCTGCGAATACACTTTCAGGCGTGAGAAAATGCGGTGCCCGCGGGCCAGCAACCAAGCTTTTGTTTTTGACGAGCGATTTCACCCTCCTTAGTGCTCGTTCATACCTTGTGCGAGATTTATGTGCTCCTTGTTGTGTCTGGCTTTGAAAAGGGGAAAAGGGATGGGTCAGGCATGTGGGCCCAGCCATGTCGGTTGCGAGCAAGGTCGTGGAACCTGCTGAAGGAGGTGGTGACGAATGGCGGTCGAGTTGATGCCTCCCTTCTCTTTCTCAGTGATGTCCGTACATATGGTCGCAATGACGTGGAATTCCCTTCTCCTGTTGTTGTTATTGGTATACCCGGTCTATTCATCATACGTGCCCCGCATGGCGCTGCATCGCTTTCCCCCTTATTGATTCTTTACCATATATACACCCCTCTTGCACAATATTGTTACAGACTTTTAAAAGACATTGCTATGAATCATGCCCGGGCCGCTTTTGAAAGCGGAGGAGAGGGTTACAACGCTTCAGCGGGGACTGAAAAGTTCGAAAAGGAATTGCGTCCGGCTCCGCCGGGCGGAGCTCCCTCACCCCCGCCTGTGGCAGAGCAACGTCGGCGCGTTCGGTCAGCAATAGAAGAGACACAGGCACTGCGTGTTGGCGACACTTGGTATCCTATTGCTTCGTCGTGGTGGCAGCGTTGGAAACGTTACGTGGAATACGACGGGGAAGACTCCACGAGTGGCGGTCACCAAGCTTTGCACCCGGGCAGGATTGATAATACGGACCTCGTTCACAAGGATCGTAAGCGACGGTGGTGTGAGAGGAACGAAAGCGTGCACAAACCTGCCGGGTGCGAGGAAGAGGACGAGACCCGGGAAGGCTTTGAAAAGGTGTTGGAATTACGGAAAGGAGTGCTGCAAAACGTGGACTTCGCCTTGCTCCCGGCCACTGCCTACAAGCTTTTGAAAGAGTGGTATTCTGGAGGGCCGGATCTTCCCCGCTCTGTCATCACTATCGGTCGTGGCTCCGTCGCCGAGAACCGTGTCAGCTTGTTTCCCTACGTCGTGGAGGTGACGTCGGGAGATTCCACTTATGACTGTGGGACTGCCAGGGAGCGACACTGTGGGCAGATGGTGGTAGAATCGGCCACCCCCGCGTCTCAATTCGTGCAGGACGTCTGTCAATTAGTAGGAATCGACATAAAGTTTGCAGAGCTGTACTCGGTGCCCATGGTGGGGCAGGATGTAGAGGCTGAGAGCACAGAGGAGGCAGAGGGGGGGAAGGAGCCAATGGGGCCATGCAAGCACCCACCAAACGAGAGGGTTTTGGGAAGTTTCAACACGCTTGACTTGATCGGGTGTGCCTCCAAAGGGAACAAGACAAGCCATGGCAATAAATTGGACGTACCCTCGGATCGAGACGGCGCTGACGAACTCGTCCGTCCTCAGATTCCTGCGAAGACAAGCTCCTCCGCCGATAGCCACAATGGGGCGGTGCCGGAAATGAAGCGCATTTCGAAAATGTATTCAAAGGAACAAACCGTAGAAGATATATTCTACGGAGAAACAGCGGCCTGTGTCTTTGTGGAAACTTTGGCCTGGCGCTTTGCGCTGAAGAAGGGCGACGCCCTGGATGCTCACGACCGAGAAAGGTGGTTCGACTCGGTGGTGGTGGAGCGTCTCGAAACCAACGGCCAAGGTGTCCCCCGCGTGAGGATCCATTTTCGATGTTGGGAGGACAGGTGGGACACGGAAAAGGAGGTGACAAGCCGGGCACTCCTGCCTCTCCACACCAAGTCGCCGGACTGGCGGCAATTTTACGTGGGCATGCCTGTGGAGCTTCGCCACCACAACCTGTGGTTTCAGGCGACCGTGATGCAGGTGGATGAGGAAGAGCGGAAGATTTTGGTCCGACGCAAATCTGGAGAGGTGTCTGAGGTGTGGAAAGCCTTCGCGAGCGAGGACGTGTGTCGCCCCGGCGTGCACTTGCCCGAGGCGGCTCCCCGCTCGGCCCCCTCTGCCGATGCCTCGCCTGCTCCTGGCAGCCGCCCGTCTTCATCCACAGCGCCTTCTCCGTCTGCGTGTTCCGCTTTCGGCGCGGGGACGGGCCGCGTGCTGGGGACGGGCGTGGCGGTGGGCGAGAGGGCTTCTGGCAACCCCTCCGGTCGCCCGGGCAATGGGTATGTGCCGGGCTCAGGGACAAGGACCGAGAGCTCTTTGCCGGGGGTGGTGGGCCTGAGCAACTTGGGCAACACGTGTTTTATGAACTCCATGCTCCAGTGCCTGAGCCACACGGGCGTGCTCACGGACTTCTTCCTGTCGGGGAAGCATGAGGGGCAAATCAACGAGGACAACCCCCTGGGAAAGCAAGGCGTCTTGGCCCGCACATACGCGAAGCTTTTGAAGGACATGTGGTCGGGCCGCTTCACCTTCATATACCCGACGGAGTTTAAACGCGTCATTTCCCAGTACGCCCCGCAATTCGCCGGCTACCAACAGCACGATTCGCAAGAACTCATGAATTTTCTCCTTGATGGTTTGCACGAAGACCTGAATCGCGTCCGGCAGAAGCCTTATATGGCCGTACGTGATTATGCCGGGGAGCCGGACGCCCAGTTTGCCGGCGAGTGCTGGGCGAGGCACTTGGCGCGGAACGACTCGGTGGTCATCGACCACTGCCAGGGCCAGTACAAATCCCACCTGACCTGTCCCCGGTGCGGGCACGAATCCATCACGTTCGATCCTTACATGAGCCTGACGCTGCCTCTGCCCGTCACCTCCATGATCAGGGTCGCCTTCACCTTCCACGCCTGGCCTTTGGGTAAACACCGGCCCCTCTACGTCGCAGCCTCCCTCCCCGCCACGGCCACGGCAAACGAGCTGAAGCAATGGATCGCGAAGAACCTATGCGCGGCCTATGCCTGTCGAGATCCCCGGGCGGCATCGCCGGGACGGTCCAAGCACGAGATATTGGCCGAGGAGGAGGAAGAGGAGGACGGGCTGCCGTACAAATCGCGCCTGCCGGACGAGAGGAAGCACATGGGAGAGGGCCTTTCCATGAGCTTGCGGGAGGAGAAAGGGGAGGAGGTCGGGCTGGGAGGACAGTTCCCGTTCGCGATCAGCCTCGCCGACGTGCTGGATCGCCGAATCGTTGGGGAATTCAAAGACACGGACAGGGTGGACGAGCTGGCGCGGACCACCGTGACCCTTCACGCTTTCCAGTTGCAGCATGCTCCGGCCGCTCCCCCTCCACCCCGTGCTTCCACCAACTCGTGGCTTTCCGGCAAACGCGAGGCTTCTCCTTCCCCCCCTCGACTCTGCGGGCGGAAATCCCCTGCACCCGCGCCGGGCTTGGTGCGAAAAGAGGACTTTAGGAAGGGAGAAGAAGTCTTCGTCGTGGCCACGTGCGTCTTCGGGAGGGCGCGTCCCACCACCACCTTTGCCTTTGCATCCAAAACCTACGAACGCTTCGGCCCTCTCCTTCGCTTCACGCTGTCAAGCCTCCAGGCCACCACAAGGGATGTACACGCACGGGTGTGGGCGGCGACTGAGAGGTTCTTGAGGGAGGAAGCGGACGCAGAAGCGATGGAGGAGGAGGAAGAGAAGGAGGGGAGAAGGGAGGAAGAACGGGCAGCGGTAGCTCGGCGGCTCCCTTATCGGTTGTATCTGGCCAAAGCGGCCGGGGATGTGGTAGGGGAAGAAGTACTGGACGATGGGAGTCCCTTTGACGTGCAGGCGCTGAAGGGTCGGGTGCTGATGGCGGCCTTCGAGGCCTCCATGTTCGAGAAATGGGTGGTGAAGGAGGAAGCGGACCGCACCGACCCGCATGCTTCCGTGCAGCGGCATCGCCTGGATGGGAGGACGGGGGAAGAAAGGGCGAGAAAGCCCATCTACCTCAAGCAATGCCTTGAGAAGTTCTCAGAGCGGGAGCAACTGGCGGAGACGGACCCCTGGTACTGCCCCAAGTGCAAGGATCATGTTTCAGCGTTCAAGAAGATGGACGTGTGGTCGCTGCCCGACGTCCTAATTCTCCATTTAAAGCGTTTTTCCTATGTGCAGGGACTGTATTCGGGCCCCACGCGGGAGAAAATTGAAGATCTGGTGCATTTCCCGGTGGAGGGACTTGACATGAGGGACGTGATGCGCGGGCATGTGGACGAGGATGCCCCGCCCCTCTACGACCTTTACGCCGTTTCCGAGCACTCAGGTGGCTTGGGTGGAGGACATTATACGGCGGTGGCCAAAAATTTCAGGGACCACCGATGGTATACTTTCAACGACTCGCTTGTCTCACCCGTGAACGAGAAGGATGTGGAGTCGACTCTGGTCACTTCGCGCGCATACGTTCTGTTCTACAAACGGAGGCGTGGCTCACTCAAGTGGGCAGGCGCCAGGCTGCCATCCAGCTAAAAGTCAGAGATCTCATAGCACATTAATCAGTGTAGCGGTAATAGAAGAGTCCGCAGGGTTGTAA